GTACATATGACTTCTATTGTAAATGTAAAATTCTGTATGTTTAATACTAGTCTTCGTATTTCTTTTGTTGTTACTGAGTCCTGTATCTTCCGTGTGATCCACCATTTTACCTGCGTATTATCTGTCCTTACAATGAACTTGTTATAGACGATGTATGGTTCAAAAGCTAATAAGCATTTATATAGGGCATATAATTCTTTTCTATTTATTTCCCATTTTATTTCGGGATTTGTAAATGTTCCTGAGTAATATCTACAATGATGCTCTATTTTTTTCTTTATCATATTTGTATTTTAATACTCCTCCATAACTTATTTCACTTGCATCTGATTCTACTATATTTGTAAATATTTTATTTTCATCTGGGAAATATAATTTGGGTAAATTCTTACATAATAGTTTTATTTTTTGAATCTATTCTTGATCTTTTTTGTCAAAATAATATTCTACATCTTTCTTTAGTTTTTTATGCAAAGGTTTTAGATTTTCTGCCAAATTGGGTATATATTCTCTTACCTGGTTTACTAATCCTAGAAATGATTGTAATTTCTTTTTCGTATCTATTTACTCTTCAGAATTTATTATTTTTTGTACTCTATGGTTTTGCATTTTTATACCATTCTTATCTATTTGTATTCCTAAAAATTCTATTTGAGTTTTCATTATTTCTGCCTTTTTCTTACTCAAACTTATTCCTGAGTGTGTGATAATATGTATAAATTTTTCTAACAATTGTATATGGTCTTCTTCTGTTTGTGAATATAATAATATATCATCTATGTATACTACACAATTTTCTAGTTGATTAAAATAATTATCCATGAAATGTTCATATCTTCCTGGTGCATTTTTGTATCCAAAAGGTAATACGTTCCATTCGTAGAATCCTTGTGGTACTGTAAAAGCTGTTAGTTTTTTAGATTCTTCTTCTAAACTTTAGATGATAAAATCCTGATTTGCAATCAAATTTACTAAAATAATTATATCCTTGTATTTGTCTTACTTTTAATACTTTGTTTGGTATAGGATAATTATATGTTTTTGTTTTTGTCATTTAGTATTTCTATAGTCAATTCCCATACGGCTTTTCCCTCTTTTTTTGTTCACTATGTTTGTTTACTATAAATGCCAGCCTATTATGCTTACTATTGCTTTCTTGGATATATTTATTTCTAGTAACTCTTTAATATGCATTTTTGAA